TAATGATTATACTAATTATATTTTAGATTTAAAATGAGATGTTTATCCTGTATTTGATTGTGTTTATCTGCAGTTAGTTACACGAATTCATATATGTGATGAAATCGGATAAGGATGAATGAGTTTAAGAGTTTTTAAGAGTTTTAAGAGTTTTAGTCAAATGCTTTATAATATAGTATATATATATATATATATATATATATATATATATATATATGATCCAAATTTGAGTAATTGAATTTTAAAAGTGGTTACTAAAATATTTATTTGCGAAATTATGTGGAACTAAAAATGGGATTAGAAAGAAAATAGCGATAATGGGATCAGGTGTTGAAGCATCACACCACTGGTTTTTCAACGTCCACCGAAGTCAATAATCCTACGACCACTGGCACTCGCACTCGCATTCACCTCTGCTTCTTCTTCCCGCCGGTCCTCCCTCACTCAAACCCTAAAACTCCAATTTCTGGCAAAACCCTAATTTCTCCCTCTCAAATATCCTATATTTTGCTCTCTCTTTTTCATCAACGTAGAGAGAAAGGATAAAATGTACAGGGAGAGAGGTGGAGGAGGATCAAAGGCCAAAATAGAGGTGACTTCCAGAGTAGGTGGAGGTGGATTGAATTTGAATGGGAAAGATGATAATAAAGACCGYTTGTCAGCTGGGAGCTCCAACCTTTCTAGGTCGTCTTATCCCGATGACAGATCATCCAAAGGTATTCTTTTTTCTCCTCTTTGAAATTTCTCATGTACGAGTTTTCTATACCACCAAATATAGGTTAGATTTCTGATTGTAGTGATTTATCTCTCTTCAAACCATCGTATGCTTTTCCTGACTACTCAAACCAAATGGAGCTATTGAAATAGCTCATGTAGGCACTTGTCTCCACCTAGTTCACACAAATTGCAGTCTTTTTCTTTTGCATAATACAAGTTGAACAATGAGGAAAATTTATTTATGTCAACACGACAAGTAGATTAAGCAGCTCTTCCAGGTGGTTATAGTTGCTGACCTGTTTAATTAGTGGATACTTTGTCATGGTGAATATGAAATATATGAAGGATCCATGGAGCTAGAGCTAATTAGCGTACAAACTTTGTGGTCCTGGAGATCAATGATAATACAAAGGGGAAGCAAACGTTCTTGTTTTTATCATAGGCAAATTGTGCAGGCAGTTAGTTTTCTGTTACTTTTAAAGCATTGCATTATGGTAACAAGTACATTTTGTATCTTCCATGCATTAGAGGTTTCCCATGGGTTGATGAGTTTTTGTGCTTTGTTAGGTGTTTCTGTGTGCCGTTTGTCCCTGTCTGTTGCAATTTGAACAAACACACAACCTTGAGATATTCTGAAAGTGGCGTGCTACTTTCAAGTATTGGCACTACAATTGTCAATGAGATTTAAACTAACCAAGTATTTTTCGGTGTCCTGGATCCCAAATATGTTACACCTGGAAGCCTACATTTAAGGAGGTGAATCTTATTTACAATTTTAATATAGAGTTATCTGGAATTGAATGCATGGGATCATGTGTTTTTTGCTTAGGAATTGCTTATTACAGTTATTTTATTTGCATATCATCATGTGAAGTTGGAATTACCACAGAGATTCAGATGATTGATTAAGCAAACAAGTTGAAATAGTGCTAATATAATTGTAGTAGGTGATTCTTCATGCCAGATCCATGATGTGAAGTTGCATTTTGGGATCCAGTGCTTGGAGAGACATGCTTGAAAATTGAGATACCAGGTGGATAATAGCCAAAATCCCACAAGTGGGAGATGAATTCTTGTATCTTTGAGCTGATCGAAGGAGTTCATGGCCCTATATGTTGCATCTTGCATGGTTCTTTTTCTTTCTATGTCTTTCTCTTTCCACATGTTCTATGGTCGTTGTTTGGAATCATTGAATATGGTTTGAGATAGGAGTTAGGATTATTTTCTTGTGTATTAAGTTGGCTTCATACGGATACGGGTACACTGGTCCAATACTTGAAAAAAGATAGTTGAAGGAAGAACTAATGTATTGGAATTAGTATTCTTTTGGGGAAAGATTGCCACGATTTATTGTTTGCATTTGGAAAGTCTTGCTTTTGGGGAAAGATTGCCTATAAATTCAATCATAGTTGCAGGTGCTGTTAATGCCAATGTGACGGAAATGAGAGGCAATCTCTTTGACATTTTATTGCCATTCCCACATCAATATAGTGATCAAGGAGACTTGAGGGAGAAGGATATAGATGATAATAAAAGGATAAACGGTTAGGTTGCGCTTCTTGTGAGAGGGGTTGTAGAATGTAATGATTCTTTTTTTATGTCATTAAGTTGGTATTGTGTCCTTACCTTATGAGAGTGAGTTGGTGTTAAATGATTGCCAAAATTGCGCAAACTTGCATGGTTGTTGTTATCATGACTTAGTAGGTTGCTAGAGTAACAAAATAAACCAAACCAAACCTGGTCAGCAAATCTCATTGGGGGTGCGATGATGCAGCTTGACCTCTTTGCAATCAGGGTAGATGCTACAATTATGATTACTTTTATTGATTAGTAGGCAAATTGCTTGAGGATATAGTATTTTGGCTATGTTTATGGATTCTTTTTATGTTTAGGTTACTTGAAATATGTAGATAATTTGGTTGGACTTCTTGATTAACACCCGATGGACTTTAGGCTGTATACAGAGTTAAAAAGTAGATGTTATTAGCTGTATCATTTGCTCTTCCTTCTGGTGTAAGATTGTTAATTGGCATTACTATTCAATGGACGTCATGATGCTTTTGCAGTCCTTGTCATCTTATATTGATTTCTCTTCATCAAAGCATTATTTGACAGGTAGTACGTAGAATAAACAATCCATTCTTTCAGAATGATATCAACTTTTTATTTATCTTGTTAGAAAATAGGTGTGCTTGTTGATAGTAAAAGTCTTCCCTATTTTTTGAGATGATAGTATACAGTGCCCATGGTTTTTAACGAGGCCGTTGTCCATTTGCCACTTCTATCTTCAAATCTGTGCCATTTAGTTTCCTCTTTTTTGTATATGGTTAAATAATGAATATAGTTTCATAGTGGAATTTATGTTGCTCAAAAGAGATCTTACTTACCACTTAGTGGATGAAGGTGAAAAAATGTATTTTTGTAAATGTTTCATCCTTCATTCTTATGATTTCAAGATTCTACATTATTTAAAATATATATTGATTTTCCATAGCTTGGATAAAGATCTGACAAACTTTTGTATGTTATGATATTTGACAAGGCTTATGAAGTTTGACGGGCCTTGTTAAATTTTCATTTTATTCTCATGTTTAGACATGCACATGCCTATATGCATATGTATACATCTTCATCCACTTTATCTCTCTTTTTTTTCGTAAATTTGCGTTTCAGTTTTACCACAACCCCCAGCTCGTAATACAAACAATCCAGGCAGAGGAGGAGGTTTTGGACGTGGACGTTGGCAAAATGACAGAGGAGGAGGTTTTGGTCGTGGACGTTGGCAAAATGACAGAGGGGGAGGTTTTGGTCGTGGACGTTGGCAAAATGACAGAGGGGGAGGTTTTGGTCGTGGACGTTGGCAAAATGACAGAGGAGGAGCCGGCATCCTTCCTCGGCCTGGACCATTTCCCCAGAGGCAAAACTATGGTTATGGGTCTAAGTTTTATGCTCCTCGTAATGATGAACGTTTTGTTTCAGAACTCAAGTTTTCCAAGAGTGAAGAAACATTGTCGAGGAAGTGCATAGCATTTCAAGAGGTAAAAAGGTTCATAGTTTTTTTCCTTCTTTTGTGGTACTAATCACATGGTACTGAAGTCATGACTTTTAGGTTGTTCACTTAATTTCTATTCATAGATATTGGGATCGATAAGCATGGGTAGACCCTAGTAATTGCATAGATCAAAATTGTATTTATTTGATTTAACAATTTGCCTACATTTATGGGCGTTGCTAGGGTTTCTTATATTCTTTCAAATTTCTAATAGTGCATTTAGGCTCCATATCTGACAATATTAACAAGCTTTTTTTGGGTCTGTCCGTCTTTATTTTTGTGTATTTGTTCTCCACTTTAGGGATTTTCTATGTTCTAACATATTCAATATTTTTGGATGGTGTCATCTGTCAAGTAGCCGACTGAACTTGGTTGCTATAGTCGTGTRGAAGGCGGAGAAGTGTACTTCGATGATAGMAGTTTGGTGAGCTTTGTTTTCGTTTTATTTGACTTTCTATCTTAATCTTTTATTCAAGGAAGACAGAGGGTACACATTCAGTTTAGAGGTTAAAAATGGCTAGTTTTTAACTTTGAATTTGTTACGACAAACTATTGTGTTAAAAATTTAACAGTATCCAATCAGAATTTTATTTTGTCGATCGTTCCTTTGATCTTAATAAAGAAAGTGTGCCTCTTTTTTCCGCAATGGAGTGCAGATTTTAAAGCTCAAGCATCTTACGCTTTGTTTTATGTTGTCAGCGGCTTTTTAAGCGTCTTATTACTGAAGATATCGGAGCTGATTTGAACCAAGGTTTTGATACTTTTATTGAGAAGAAAGGTACTCCCTATCTTTGTAATAAATAAATAGCAACTTTGTTGCACCAAATAATCTCTCAGACCAAAGGGCCTTTGGCCTAGTGGTATCCCGGTTGCCGGTAGAGCCTAGCTTTTTAGTAGGTCAAGGGTTCCAACCTTATCAAAGTCGATAAATATGCTTTAAAAAGAAAAATCTTTTAGGTTTTAATGTACAGGCATTTAGTCTTTACTTATCTTTTGTTATTGTTTTTTCTCACCAGATTTGGGCTCCCAGGGCTTTGGAGATCTCCTAGCTTGCATACGAAACAAAAATATTCCGTTACAGAATATGCATTTTGTGGTGAGTGTTGTTTTCATTATTACTTTTATCTGCCTCACAGTATGCTTCAGATTCTTTACTTATTTGTTTTTTCTCTCTTCTTTTCCTTGTGATTTTGCAGACCTATCGGAACAACCTCAATAAGGTATCTTGCTGCCTTCCCATATTTTTTTGGCATGCATCTGTAGCACATGTTTTAGCCTATGGTGTTTTAGTGGATTCAATTGTTAATCTGTATGTATTCAATCGTTGGCAGATATTGGCCACTGCTTATATGAGGCATGAGCCTTGGGAAATGGGTGTGCATAAAAGGAAAGGGGTTGTGTATCTTGATGTGCATAAACTGCCTGAAAGGCCACAAAGGGAGCTGGATCGTCGGAGGTACTATACCAAAACAAAGCTTTTTGTGTTCTTACTTTGTTTCTGTTTTTGGGAAGTTTAGAACTTTCTTTTTTAGCTATGATCATTGAAAATAAGATTGACTTTTCTTTTTTAGTTCATAGAATTTAATTGTATTCATGTGGGTACTTATGTGTAATTGGATTAGGTGTTATTGGGGATATTGCTTTGAGACGCTTGCTACTGAAGATCCGACAAGGGATGATGGAGAAGGGATACACCATGTTGATGCCAACGTTGAATATTGTTCTGTAGTTAAAACCAAATTAGGTGCACATGGGATTCTAATGGGTGCTGAAATGGACTGCTGTGATTCCATGGATGATGGAAGGAGATTTTATGTGGAACTAAAAACTAGTCGTGAGGTTTGTGACCTGCATTTCAAATATACCCCTTTCCTATTACGAGTAGTATTCACACCTTTTTTCCGTATATATTTGCAGTTGGATTACCACACTGAGGAAAGATTTGAGAGGGAGAAATTGCTAAAGTTTTGGGTATTATCGTCTTTCTTGCTCTACCACATTATATACATTTCACTTTTGTGAATGCTTACCATATTATGTGTTTGAATCTATTTATTACAACACAGATTCAGTCTTTTCTTGCTGATGTCCCGTTTATCGTCATTGGTTATAGGTACGTTCCATTAAATATAAAAAGGTTCTTAAACAGTATATGCATAAATTTTCGACAGCAATCATGTTTCTGTACATGACTCTTAAGTATTTCTTTATGTTGATAGTTTTTTGCAGTAACCATTAATGGTCTTTTTGTAGGGATGATGCTGGCCGGCTTGTGCGTACAGAGAGATTAAGAACGAAAGACATAACTCACCGGGTAAAAATGAAAAATTATTGGCAGGTAAGCATTGATCGGTTTCAAATCACCCCTATTCCCAACCCCAACCCCAACCCCAACCCCAACCCCGTATCTGTGTGATGATGTTTCTTGAGTTGACTAAATCGACAGGGAGGAGTTTGTTTGGCATTTGCTGATGAGGTTTTATGTTGGCTGTATGGCACCGTAAAAGAGAGTAAGATTTCATTATTTTCTTTTAAAAAATAAAAGAAGTTATGAAGTAGTGTATTGAAATGTTGATTGTGTGGGATGACAGATGAAGACTATATACTGCAATTTGCTGCACCATTTACGCGTTTGGAGCTTCTAACTGCACAATCTTGCCCACAAGAAATAACTGATCATGTTGAGCAAGAGCAACTATGAATGAAGTGGTGGGTGATGGTCTTTTTGCATGGCTAAATCCTAGGATACTAGAGTCGCAAACACTTATCGGATAAGTCATCGCATTTGAACACTTAATAATGGGGGATATTTTCTAGGTTTTGATTTGATATGTAAATTGAAGTGGTGGAATGTATTAAAATGATTGGTTGAGATTGGTTCTCACAGTTACTACAAACAACTCAGTTCTTCTTTGAAGGTCCCTTTTATATATATATATATATATATATATATACACACACACACTAGAAGCGTACTCGCACAATGCAGCGAGATACATTGTGATTTTAATATTTCATTTTTATTCTTTATCTCAGTCGATGTTATAATATGGCTGTATGTGATTTTGAGAAAGCGATATGTTTTTATATTTGAATAAAATATATGTTTGAAAATATCATAAAAATTTGACAAAAATATATCGATATTAGTATCAAATTAACTATTTGAAATTCTTTATTTTTTTGTGTAATTTTTTAATTCAAATTTTTTATAATTTAATTTATGTATAATAACAAAGTGTATATTTGGTTTAATAATATAATTTTTTTTATAAAGATAATAATTATTTATTTTGTTGAAACTCGATAATTATTCTAATTATATTTTAGACTTTTTATATTTTAAAATGAGATGTTTATCTTCTATTTGATTATGTTTATCCGCAGTTATTTATACAAATTCAAACATCGAGCTTTAATAAGTTGTGTTTATGCATAATTACTTGTAATCTTGAATTTTAAGTAATATGCATCAATATACAGTACTTTATGCATAACAAAAATATATCGATATTCGTATCAAATTA